TTGTGCCTTATTAATCCTTAGCGCTGCTGTTTGCCAGGGAGCCTGTGCAGATCTGGCTGGCCACGTGGTGCTGGCTCCCTGTTCTGTTGTCACGTGCTGAAATCCTTTAAAAGAACGAAACGCAGTAGGTGCTTTCCCGGTCCTGCTTCTCCATGGCAGCAGAGACAGGCGAGGTGATTCTACCTGGGGTGCACATGGGATGTGCTGCTGAGGACCCCCAGGGCTAGCTGTGAACCAGTGGGCTCAGCCTGCCGAGGGACCTCTCCAGCTCTATGCGTTCTCTCTGTAGGACCACACTAAAATCATCCTGTGCCCCTTGATGGCGGCGGTCACCTACATCGACGAGAAACGGGACTTCCGCACGTACAAGCTGAGCCTGATCGAGGAGCACGGCTGCTGCAAGGAGCTGGCCAGCCGGCTACGTTACGCCCGCACCATGGTGGAGAAGCTGCTTAGCTCCAAGTCTGGCTCGGCCCGTACGAAGCTCTCCGCTTAGAACCCAGCTGTAATGGACTCCGCGTCTGTGCCAAACTGTTACGGCCTCGGCCGGAGGGGCCTCTGCAACAGTAACCTCCCACCAGCTGGGCCACCTCTCTGCTGCCAGCTGCACTGGGGCCGCAGGAGGGGCTGCTGCTGAGGAAATGGTCACGCTGGCCCCTCAGCACCCATTAGAAAGTTGCTTTTATTGAATATCTAGTTTTTCTAACTGTCCAATCCCCCCAGCCCTTGCTCCACGGCCTTGACGCAGCCTCCTTGGAGAACAGAGCATGGGCAGGGCGGAGTTCTGTAAGTTATTTGTATGTTTGTGATGCTCTGGGGCTCCTTTCCCCCTCCTGTAGCAACTGTAAGATATTTAATGTGCTCACATGCTGACTCTGAGCAATCAGCCTTTTAATATTGAAACTAATCTGCACCAAATTAAACTCTTGTATATTACGTAACTTGACTAAAGATTGGTCTCTGCGGCCCCCTCCCCCCTCGCATCTCTCTGGGTCCCACCTAGTGTGCAGTGCCACCACTCTGGATGAAGGGCTTTGCCTGGCCCATGGGGGAGACCCTATTAAGTACGAGGTAGAAGGAAGATTTCCCACTCTGCTGCGTTCCATCTCTAACCCGGGAGGTAGGGTGGACTCACCTGCACATGGTCTGTTAATACAGCCTGGGAGGAATCCCCAGTTCTTCCAAGGGGCTGCTGTTTAATTCTGTGATGTGCTCTCCCCACAGCTGCAGGAGCCTTCTAGCCTACAGTGCCCATCCAGTCTGCGTGCACACCTGCCTTGTCAGAGCAAAGCTATTAAAGGGCCATCTGCCTTCCTTCCCCCTGCATGCTGCAGCAGTGTGTGTGTGTGTGTGTGTGTGTGTGTGTGTGTG